GCTGGAAAGGGGCTGCCCCAGGAAACTTGGGGCTGGGACAAGAGTCATCTCCTGATGGCGTTTTTACAGTGACAAAGGAAGAGTTGGGTTAGTTTAAAGGGAAAGCCCAGAGCTGCAGTTATGCTGGGGCTGGGAAGGGGCTGCCAAGCTCGATGGAGGGCTGATGCTCAAACCTTCCTCTTGGGAAGGCTTGTTTTTAGAAAGGAAGGGCTGCAGCACTGAGACTGAAACTGAGCTTACGATGAGGGTAAAGAGAAAGCTCAGTTGTATTGGGCTGGAAAGCATCATACAACGTAAACTACTCCCTGGCACTCATCTTCTCTTCCGAGGAGTATTTAGTCTGCAGATGGAGAAAGACTCTTGCCTCTGGCGCAGCCTGGGTTTAGCATTAAGGCTGAGAGAAAGCCCAGAGGTAGGGTTGTGTGGATGCTGGAAAGCATCTTCCAAAGTAAACAGAGCTGACCCAAGGCTTTTGCTTTTCTGAAAGCAGGGCTGCTGTTTGCCTCCAGGATGGCCTGCTGTCTCCTCACTGTTCAGATTGGCAGCACCAAATGTTGGTGTGTATCAGTAGGCCTCCAGCCAAGGGGCTGTGTCCTGGGCATTACGTACCATGCGGGGCAGTGGGCTTTCCTCGTTCGTAGCTGCAGTCTGAGCTCTCTGCCCCTCACCCACAGCACTGAGGAAGCATCTCGGAGGCCTTGTACCTTCCTGCAAACCCCCTTTTTATGTGTGAACTTCTCGCGCAAGTGCTCCCTCTGTGTCCGTCTGAGAGAGGGAACACTTCTGACCTTTATGGTGAAACGTTTCAACTTTCTCAGTCTCTGAGGCTCATTCAGGGCTGCTGAAGAGGAGTGAGGACTGAGCTGCCTTTTCTCTGTGTCCTGTGTGCCTGCCTTCAGCAAGACCTGCTGGTCACTGGGCTAAGGAGACAGTCACCCAAGGGTTGCCCAAGTGTTTCTAGATAGGTAAATGCTTGCCTGGAAAGTAAACTGTCACTTTCCAGGAGGAGGATTTGTTGCTCTTAGTATTAGCCATCTGAAACCTAGCTGTAACTGATGAGGAAAGGCGGGCACCTCCAGTTTAACCCATGTGTTAACTTCTTAGAATCATAGAATCATGGAATCAGTAAGGTTGAAAAAGACCTCTAACTTCATCAAGACCACACGTGGCTAAAGCAAGTTGTGTGGTCACGTCTCGCCTCTGGCAGCTCCACACAGGAGCTGGCACCAGCACGCTGACAGCCAGGTAACTTGGCTTGTTCTCCCCTTGGTCCTGCGAGGAGGGCAGCTGAACTGCAAACCCATGAACCCCCACCACGCTCCGGTAGCTGCGCAATAGGAGATGCACACACGCGCCTCTGGGAAGGCGTTCATACTTGGTAAATTCCTCTCTTCCTAGGGCTTATATGTTTGAAGCTCTTCCAAGAGGTATCCAAGCACAGGAGATACAGTGAGTATCCATAACACTGTTCCAGGCAGTCATGCCCCTGCAGCTTGCTCAGACCAAAAGCAGTTGGCCAACTGTGAGATGATGTAAATGCAAAGGAGGATTTCTTTGGGCTGGGACATCAGAGGTGTACTCTGAAATGCAATGTTTGATTACATTTGTTATCTCTACTTGGAAAACTATGCAGTCATAAAAAAATGATCCAGCCTCCAATAGTGCAGTCACCAGTTCGATTCTTGAGATGCTGGAAAGCAGCTGCCTGTCCATTAGCACTACGTATAATGCCAAGTTAATATCGTCATGTGATTTCATGATGCGGTCAGCAGGTGAGCCTACAGAAATCTGCCTGAGCAGAGGCTGGAGGAAGGTAAGAACCAGACTCTCCCAGTGCAGCCTCCACCCATGGCCAGCCCATGCTCTTGATAGCTCAAGCAGTCCCCTCTGGGGGAGCTTACCTGGCAAGGAGCTGTGATACCAGGGTCTTGGGCAGTCTGATCCCCTCTAAAGGGCTCTCCCTAGGGCTCAGGTAGGAGAAAAATCATCTGGTGAGTAGCAGAACAGGGGAAGACATGTTTGTTTGGGATCTGCGCTGTGCTCACAGGTGTTTTCCTTGGGTGAGGGATATTACTGAAGCTCCCCTGTTGTTAGGGCACTGACACAGCCTCCCTCTCTGCCACCAACCCATCTCATTATGAACTTTGTAGTGAAGGGTTAACCTACACAACAGCCTTTGCTCTGTGAGGACCTTGTGAGAGCTGTCTTTTCTATCCAGGCACCTGTTTACTCAAACTTATAGGAACTTTTCATCAGTAGGACATGTCATACTGCAGAGTTCTAGAACAATTTGGGTCAGGAAGGACCTCTGGCGGTCACCTGGCCCAACCCCTGCTCCTAAACGTGGGTCGGGTTGCTCAGAGCATTACTCAGATTTTGAGCATCCACATGGATGGAGACTGCTGCCGCTCTGGGCCCCTGCTCAGTGGTTTCGAAGTGTGAAGGGAGCAGGGGTGCACAGGGTGCTGGGGTTCAGCATGACAACACATCTCCCCGATCCTTGGTAAGTCAGAGTTTTGGTCCATGGAGCTGAAGGTTCCCCACAGTACGAGCCAGGGACCTGGCTGCATGAGATGCTACAGCCACAGAGAGCTGCTTTGATGTCTGAGAAAAAACGAGGAGTGGTGGTATTTAGCAAAAAAGAGATTGTAAAGCACAGACTCTTTCTGCATTTGCAGATTTACCACAGGGGGAATCATCCCTTTTGCTATGGATGCCTTTGCCCTTGGCTATCACCGATATCAGTTGTCTGGGCTTGTCTCTGGAGATTTTTTCAAAATCAACTGGAGTCAGCCTACCCTGAGCCAAAGTATAAATACTTCTGTAGCACCTGAGAAAAAAAATGGAGGTCAAGTACAGGGTCTTGGGGTTTTAAAAGGTGCAAGTCTGACACATGTGTGACGGTAATTTTACACGCTCTTCTGCTCCCCCCCCAAACATGAGTTTAGTGAGTGGGTGGTGCCTCAGGGTAGCTGTTATTTCCATAGGGGAGTTATATGTACACCTGTGTGCAGCAAATGAATTTGCAAAGGAGTTAAGGGAAGATGGGTTAGACCTGTTTGGAGGGGATGTGTCCCCTTGCCCAGGAAAACTAAGCCCGGGCATGTCCATATTTTACAGCAGAATTAATAAACAAACAATTTTTTTTTTCTTGGGTTTGGAAGGGGCCAAGAGAGCTGCTGGAGGA